ATCATCCAGCCACCCCCCATGGTACACCCCATCATCCAGCCACCCCCATGGTACACCCCATCATCCAGCCACCCCCCATGGTACACCCCATCATCCAGCCACCCCCCCATGGTACACCCCATCATCCAGCCACCCCCATGGTACACGCCATCATCCAGCCACCCCCCATGGTACACCCCAGGTAAGGTGTTTTGAAATAAAAAGACACCATCTTATTGGGGTACAAAGAAATGAAGTGAAAAGTTAGACTAAAATACTAAGACTAAAACATGAACTGGCCCATTAACTTCTTTACTATTCTAAACAAGGCAGCAGAGCTGCCAAATGTACAGACACAAGGCAGAAAATAATTATGCTTGTGAACAATGTTTTTTCTGGTCTGTTTTGATGCAATTTTACATAATGGTCAACAGCATAATCACACCAATTTTTTATTGTGCACCACTGGTAACATGGACATTCAGATTATGCAACAAGGCCTTAAGGAAATATGGATAATGTGTGTGTGGGGGGGGGGAATAATTGCTTGACCACTTAACTAGATCTCAGTCCAATAATAGTCTTCCTCATCCATGGTAAGATTGTTTTTATCTTAAAAGCAGAGTCAGTCCATGTTAAGGCCATTTCTATAAAGATTAAGACCAGGTAAGGTCATCTGTGATCTGAAATTGCAGATTCAGATCATTTTAGGCCCACTACCTGCACACCTAGAGATGGCAGGAGTTGTGTTTACAGCTCAAATGGAGACTTCACAAGATAAAGAGCAAAGAGCACCTGTGTCTTCACTGCAAGATATCTACACTGTAGTTACAGCTCTCACTGAATCCATCAACCAGAACTGACTACCTACTCCATAGTCTACTTCACTTCTTCACTGGTGAAATAAAACTAAACACATTCTTGACTCCTTATATGTAGTGAAATGCAGAAACAAACTGCTGTGGCCTTAGACGAGAGGCAACTGAGTTAATGATAAGATAATCATAATCGTTATAACTCTGCTGAATACACATTCATAGTCCATTCTCTCCCACCAGTTTACTGCTGAAAAGAGATAACTGCTCTACATAGAAAGGTTCGCTACACACCTCCAAAATGGCTACAGCTCGTGATGACAGAGAAGAAAGCCTACAAGCCAAAATAACTGAATATTTTGTCAGCTGTCCATTATGCCTTGTTGAGTACAAAGACCCGACAGATTTACCATGTAGGCATACATTTTGTAAAGGTTGTCTGAAGACTTATATTTCACACTCAACACCAGGAAGTAAATTCCAATGTCCTGTGTGTCAGAAAGAGACTGAAGTTCCTAAAGATGGCCTTGAGGGCTTCACTCACAATTCCTTCATTGAAAGGTTGCAGGACACTGTACTTCAGTCAACACATAACAAAAAGTGCAGCTTTTGTGTTTTGTTGTCCCAAACTGAAACAGTGGCTACTTCAAAATGTATCACCTGCAACGACTACCTATGCGACAGATGTGCTCCATTCCACTGTGCTACCACACTCACTAAAGATCACAGGGTACTCACTTTTCAACAACTTCACAGCAGTGAGTATCAAAAAGAAATCCAAGAGCAGCAGAAAATTATCTGCCCAGAGCACAAAGGTGAGATGATACGATATTTTTGTTCAGACTGCACTGTCCCCATTTGTCGTGACTGCAGAGATCTAAACCATGATGGTCACAAACTCATCTCCTTTGAAAAAGCTGCAGAGATGGTAATGCCAAAACTTTTGACCAAATTCTGTAGCATGGAGAAAAAATTTGAAACAGGTGAGAAAACAATAGCTAAAATTGATGAAATATTGGCAACCCTCCAAGAAAATGAAAGCTTTGTTCAGCAGAAGATCAAAGCTCGTGCAGCTCATCTACATCAACTGGTAGATCAACGAGAGAAAACCTTACTACAGGAGCTTCATCAAACCACCAGCACTCATAGAAATAATTTACAAGCTTCCCGCAAAAACTGCAGTGCCACTTGCTCCTCTATCAAAACCACAACAGATGTAGTAAAGAACATCCTTCACCAGGGTGCTCCCATAGATGTCCTCATGTTACAACAGCAACTTGGACAGAGACTAGATGAGCTACAGTCCACTTCAGCTGTGGATGATATTCCAGAGGAACTAAAACTCACACTTACCATCACCACAGAAGTGGATCAAGAGATATCCAGTAGGGCTGGCCTGGGGAATGTGCGGATATCTAGATTACAAGCTTTGCCCAAGCTCAAACCAAAGGCTGAATGTATGCTGCAGTTTGACACTGGCTGTCTGAGACCAGTGGACATTTCAGCAAGTCCAAACAGGGAGTATGTTACAACACATGACATGTACAACAAGGTCAAGGTTTTTAATTCTGATGGTACATCAAGGCAAGAGATCACCAGTGTCTCAGGCAAACAGCTGAAATTTCCAGTAGGCATCTGTCACTTCCCTGATGGAAGGTTGGTTCTAGCCTGTAGAGATAATAACAAACTGTTCATCCTGTCACCACAGTGGGAAGTACAGCAAACTGTAGATGTCAGCAACCCATTTGGTGTGGCTCTCAATGACATCTGCACTAAGATTGCTGTGGCGCAGCATTATAAAGAAAAGTCTGTGAGTGTGTTCAGTTTTGATATCAAAGGGCAAATAACTTTAACTGGTGTGATAAAGGACAAAAATGGGGAGCAGTTGTTCAATTCACCATATAAAGTAGCATATATGAGCAATGGGTGCCTTGTTGTTAGTGATGAAACACCAAACAAACTTCACATCCTAACCCCATCTGGTGACCCACTGTATCAGTACACAGGACCTGATAACAAGTTAGGTCGACCCCATGGTGTCTATGTTGATGCATATGACAACATACTGGTTACAGATGTTGATAACCACTGCATGCACCTTGTATCCCCAGATGGGAAGTTTATCCAGTACATAGCAACTGAAGCTGATGGACTAGAATACCCATGGGGATGTACCATTAACAAGTATGGAGACCTGGTTGTGGCTCAAAGGAATGGGAAAGTGAAAGTATTCCAATACTTGAAAAAATTACATTCTTTAAAATGCTAAGCAACTGAACATTGTGCACTTTTCTGACAAATTTCAAATTAAGTAGCATACAAGATAGCAAAGCATCCAAATGTAAAAACACAAAGCAGAAAATAATGATGTGTATAAAATATTTTTTTATCAATTTTGATGCAGTATTACACAATAATAAACAGCATAATCAGGTGGATGGGAGTTAAAAGTCACATCTTGAAAATGACAAGTGATTGAAAAAAAAATTAAAAAGATAAGATAGCAAAAATATTCCAATAAAGCTGCTATTCAAACTTTTGATCTGGCTGTATTAACATGATATGAATAAACCCACTGAGTTTGAGAATAATAAGGCACTATTATTCATCTATAGCATTAATGTTGGCATTACACTAAATAATTTTTTCTTTTGTAAACTTATTTTCAATATTAAACAACATTTACCTGACTTATCACAGATTCCTTATCATGTGACACTGTTAACTTAGTCATTGGCAAACCGTATCTGGCAGAGTGCTAATAATTGAACACATACAATAATTTTCATAAAGTAATTTAGACTGAGCTGATATGGCACTTACCAAACACTAAGATAAAGAGAGTATTTAGTGAGACCACCCAAAACACATGTTCCTGAAATAAAAACATACAAAATATATTCATACTTTAAAGAAGCATGTTTAAAATTCTGCCAATTAAATGTATGGCACACATCTTTTTTAAATCTCTTAGAATAAACTAGAGGATCAGAGAGGCGATACCGCCTCCGAATATTGTACCACCAGCTGGAGCAAGCGCATTCGTNCTTTTCTGTGTGACAAATGCAGGTTCTTTGATATAGATAAGAAAGTGCAAAAAGAGTGCCCGTACTGTGCCTAAGTGTATGTTGAAATACTGCATACATTCTCTATCATGCAATTATTTTAATTCCCCCCCCCCCCCAAAAAAAAAAAATAAAAATAAATAAATAAATAATTGCATTTCACTTATTTATAGATTTTTTCAATTCATGGCAGTAATTGCAATATTTGAAAGTAATTCAGTTCAAGACGTGAATATTTTTTTAATTAGTTTAATTTTAAAACTTTGTTTTCTGATTCATGTACATAGACAGTGCCTTCTGTGATCCTTTTTGTTTGAGGCGAGGATGTTCATTTTGTTTGAAACCTATGCTGCATATAGAAATAATGTGATCTTAAAAATACAGACCATATATTTTTAAATTTATAAATCATGTACTCCAGAAAAATTGGGAAGACTGAAAATTATTTTATCCCGCTCCAATTACCATTTTAAAGGTCTGAATTATTGAGAAGGATAAGTACTGGCAGCTTTGTAGAAAGTGTCCTGTAGACACAGAAAATATGATTTCAGGAAATTTTTTAACTTGGATTATACACCTTTTAGTTAACAGTGACGCAGTGAAAAGATAGCTAATGGGCCTAAATTAAAAAATACATATATATTAGTATGACCACAGCCTCTTGTTTTATATTATCTATTTAACTGTTCATTCATTTAGTATTGTTATCATTCCTATTATTTTTATGATATTTTATTTTTGATCATAAAGAATGAAAACAATATCACTACCAAAACCAGTTTTACCTGTATACTGTATAAGAGATCAGTGAAAACTGTGAACCACATCCAGTCCACATTGCATCAACACATACCTGGCTGATCTCACCTAACACAATGAGCTCTCCCTCTCTCTCTCTCTCTCTCTCTCTCTCTCACACACACACACATACACACACACACACACACACACAGTTGTTAGTCATTATTTTCAATGGGGAAAATACATATTGTGATTTTTACAAATACTATACAGTTACTTTTAGATCATAGTTTCCTAAATTAAAACATTGTTTGTTGAGTGGTAGCAACAAAATTCAAAAGCAAGCTACATGTACTCTGTGGTTCTATTCTGTGCAGTAAAAACAACACAGGTCAGGCCAGTAGCCAGCAATTTCAAAAGGTGGGTTCTTTTTCTGAAAAAGTGGACCATTTTCCATAAAAACTTCATGAACCTAGATCAAATTTTACCCAGAGTGGACCTTTTCCCGGCAAAAGTGGCAGTTCTTTCGAACCCCCCGAACCCCCCTGGCTACGGGCCTGCAGGTGGTTTATAGAAATACGTAAAATACGTAAAATTGTGTGATTATTAAATTATGTATCTGAAAGTTTGATAGTTTTTGCCCATTGAAAAGATCAAGTATAGTACTTATGTACTGGTTATTATTATGCAGAGGGCATGAAGTGCCGTAATTGGTGAGAATTACAATATTCTTCCTGGTTGATCATTTTACTGCATTTTTCAAAGAAGAAAGAGTCCTTGATTCTAGCCTACCCGAAGGCCACTTTAAATGTTTATTAGTGTTTCATTAGTCAGTGACATATATAAAATTTTTCGAATCAAGTTTAGAAATGAAGGAATTGACTTATAGTACATGATTAATTTAGATTCTGTTAATCAATCTATTCAACAGATTTTTTTAAGTGAAATCCATCATTCTCCATATCCAAACAGCTATATAATCTGCCCCTGTAATTTATAATTTAGTTTTGGACATGGTGTACCTTGGCAAAATGTTTAAATTTACAGAAAAATAAATATTTCCTTTCTTAAAGTCTATCATGCCATATGTGGCTTATACAGTCATTGCTCATATATCTCTCTCAGGCATTGATCTATATTCTTATATGTATGTTGGACAACAAGCTGACATGATTCAGATACAATATATTTATATAAATCTACTTTGCTGAACCAAACTGAAGCACAGTACACAGTAATTAAGAATTTGCCAAAAGTAAAATAAAATCCATTTTCATTTTTCATACCGAGATTTAATTATTTTAAAGAATATAATCATTTGACAGCTGGAGTGAGCCAAAAAAACATACTTGACTATTCACTGAAAGGTTTATTTAAGTTGAGAGATCCTGCTTGTCAAGTTCGATGCCTTTTATCACTATTTTCTTTTCATTTTTTGTACAAAATGACTTACCTTCAGTTGGTACATGTACTTGCCAGTTTCAGCATTCATTTTCAAGAAACATGTCCGAAGTACTGTTCAAATCTATCTCAGAATCCAGCCTCAAGGTGAATGTTAAGTAAAGGTTTGGCTTAAGGCCAAGCAAATGGCCTGGTCTGCTTAATAACCTACAGTGTACTCATATGCATCGTCACACTTCTCTTCTTTTCACTTTAATAGGCATTTTCAGCCATATGTGAAAAGCTTATTCCTTGCCTGTTCAAAATTTGATTTTCAAAATGTAAAAAAAAAAACCATTAATTTTGGATATATACAGTAATGTGACTCAGATATTTCCTTTGCCTTAGCCTGTGAACCAAAGAGAGGCAACAGTGGCCTAAAATGAATTCACTGTTACAATGAAATATTGCCATCTAAAGAAATAAGATATAGTACACACCAATAGCGGTATCATTATGTGCCACACAATACCCAACACTTGCTCTTTCAAAAGAAAAATAAACACTGAATTCAATAAAGTTTTGTATTGCTGTAACTCTGGTTTCTTTCTCAACAACACTGAACCATGTGTAATCAAAACAGCGTCAAAACAGCAACACATAAACTACATTGTTTGGGGATTTTGTGCTAGATCTATTCTCTCAGTTTGAAAACACAACAAAGCCCTTTATTTCTGAACAATCCCCCTGGCCTTTCTCCGTAATATGTGACGAAACTGTAATAAAGAGACCTACAGAGTCAAATCTCAGTTTTGAATGAAAAGATTCAAACAGGGGCTTAAAGCAAGGCAGCAATACAATCAAATACACTTAGTCGTAGTTTCTATAGCGTAGCCTCTGCCTCAGTTTCACACTGTTTGTATTGAAGGCTAATATAGTACCCACACACATCACTGAAATACTAGTCTGGATTAGCTAGAGACATCATAACTTAAGGCTCCTAATATGATTGTATTTTCTTGGATGGCGGAGCATCTTTTTGGATAATCTTATGGCTAAGCTGTTAACATTGACCTTCATCAGAAGCTTGGAATTAGTATAGGGGTTGTAATTCCCCCCCACAGCTGAGATTTAGGAAATTACTGTGATACTCCCTAACTGAAGAAAGTCTCAAGTGTTGAATGGCATGCCAATCATCTCAGTTTAATCTGATATGAGTGGCAATCGATTAATTTGACATCACTTACACCCCTGAAGACCTGTGGATTGTGGAGGATTGATGGCTGTTTAAATTATTTTCAATTAAGCCCCAAAGCTTCAGGGAGCGCAGTGACACTGTTGTTGAATATTTGACATTTACTCGTAATTGCACATGATGCTGGTGCTTTGACTGTGCGACATTTACGTGGAATATGTCAATAGGCATTTAGTTCTATGTATTGAGGGAGAGTTGTGTTTGTGTGCTATTTGTGTACTCAAGTAGTCTGCTGATAAGACGGAGAACTGTTACCGACATTCATTGAGACCTGGAAATTGGGTTTTAAAGCTTAGACAAAAGTCTGACAAAAAGTGAAGTACATATTCAGATACCATGGCTCTCGTGGAGAAAGCTTTAATGAGAATAGTAAGTCTTTTGTTTTATATAATACCATGCCTGTATCTGATAGGGAATATTGAGTAATTTACTTGCATGCCATAAACTGCATGATGATATGAATAAATAGGTTATTTAATTACTAGCCACAGAGCACATTTTTTTTTATCTCATTCACAATAAATTGGTCGTTGAAAAGTGCATGGTAGTCTTAATTGTCATGAGGTCAAACTTAGCAAATTGTCTTTCTTTAGGCACATGCCATAGGAGGAGTGCCCTATCACTAGTGAAATTTATGATTACTTTATCTATTCACTGGTGTTAGGGATTTTTGTAGGGCACTAAAACCATAGTGGAAATCTTTATTTCTGTTGCCAGCCATTAAAGACATTGACCCAACCTGAGAAATTGCAGTAAACCAAGATCAAATTTCCATTCAGACCTTTTCTGTCCAAAATATTAAAATCAACAAAATATCACAATAATTCCAGGTGAAGCAGCGCGTCCTGCGTGGACATGAGGACGCCGTCCAGTCCTGTCAGTACTGCTGCGATGACCAGAAGATCCTGACCGCGTCCTTCGACAAGATGGTCAAACTGTGGGGTGTGGAGCAGGGGGAGGTGGCGCACTCTTTTGAGGCTCACACTCACCATGTGAACCAAGCAAGAATGAGTCCTGATAACAAGAAGTATGCTTCTTTGTTGTCTTTGCATTTTTTATTAACTTATTTCTTTTCTTTTATGATATCAATAGCTTTTTACAATATTGCTCACATTTCAACACTTGTATTAAGAAGTGGTAAATTCTAAGTACATAAAGCACACCCAAGCACAGTCAATCACACCTAGCACATTTCAAACACTTGACATATGGATGACTAATAAGTCTAATATACTGCCTTTTTACTACTATTCCATTATTATTATTTTGATTTATTTATTTTTTAAACAGAATGGTATCAGGAGGCTGGGATAAGAAGATGCATGTTTGGGATGTGGAGACAGGAAGAGTTCTGGTAAGTGACAATCTGGAACATTCCATCTCCTTTCTGAGGCAGCATCCTGCATCAGATCAGTAAAGAATATGGTTTTTAGAGTTCATTCTTGGAGATGATTTTCTCAAAGTTTATTAAGCAGTTGACTTAGATTGTTTTTTTATCATTTACAATGTACATACTTTTCATCATGGAACCAGTTGATTTCTGAAGATTACAAGTTCAAAATGACCAGCATGCTGATATGATTATATTCGATTTTTACCTTTTTAAATAAATTTTCTATTCAATTTTTTTTTTATATTTGATTACTTATTTTTCCCTTATATATTCATTTATCTAGCTACATATTGTCTCTCCCTCTAGTGGACAGCTGACCACCCTGGCATAGTGACCAGTGTCAGTTTCTCCAAGGATGGCAAGTCCATCGTCTCTTCCTCAGACCTGGAGTATAACATCAGAGTGTGGGATGCGGAGGAGGGAAGGATGATCAGTGAGATCAAAGGTCAGTGCAGGGCTCTGTAACTCGAAAGCATCACAAATTGCGATAGCTATATCACCTGTCATTTCAAGGCTATTATAAGGGGCGAGTAAATCCCAAGTTATGGAATAGAGACAAATCTCTGTACTTGCGCTTGGTCGCAATTCGCGTTGCTTTCAAGTGACTGAGCCCAGATCTTTGGGGGCCAAAGGTTTATTCAGGAGTGTGCACAGCAGGTACTTGTTCCTCCCTTTGCTTCTTAGGTAACCTCGTCTACATACCTCACGCAAAAAAAAAATGAAAAAGAAAAAATACTCCTCCTAGAGCAACTGGACAGTATACAGGATAGGACAGAAGCAATCTTTTTCCAGTTTGCATTGACTGGCATCTTTTTTTTTTTGTTGGAAGAGGGTCAGAAATGGAGGATGGATCAACAAAGATAATTTGGAAGACTGTAAGAAAATGCAGTTTTGCCATCCATGTGCCCTGTGTTTTAAAGTAAAATTTTGTCTGCCAGTATTGGTTAATATCAGATATTTTACAAAGAAAAAGATAGCACCTGGCCCAGAGGTAATTTATCTAACTTAAACATTTTTCACTTTGTCCACTTTGTAAATTATTATTTATATTCAAGGAGCCCATGCCAGTGCAGTGACCAGTTGTAACTTCACACCAAGAGATGACCGCCTGACCACCACTTCCATGGACATGACGTCCAAATTCTGGGATCTCAAATCACAAAAGTGCACCCTGACACTGAGGTAAGGCGTTCTACTTTCTGTGTTCGATATATTCACTGAATGGCAACGTAAAGTTATCAGTCTGAGTTGGGAAAGATAATTGGCTTCTGCTCTGAAACAAGGATATGTTAATTTACATATAAGATTCCAAATGCAGATAGTATACTTCATATTAATTCAAACTTTTTTTCAGATAGTTTATGATAAAATTAAATCCCAGTTATATATTTGCTTATGAAAAAAAATGTTATATGTAAAAATATTATGATCCTATGTGGAATATCTAATGGAAAGTGATTTTTATCAAAACGTTAATGAATTTTTCTTTACATGTATTTCAGAGGTCACATCAATATCATCTCAGATTGCAGTATAACAGCAGATGAGAGACGTTTTGCTACTGCATCATGGGATAAGACTATTGCATTGTGGGATATTGCCACAGGGTCGTACAGGTATGGCAAGAAATATTGACGTGAAATTGAGACAAAATGGTCTAAAGGATAGAAACAACAGCATTTTTAAAGGTCAAATTTGTTTTTCTTGAACTTTTTGCAGATTGATAGCACTAGCATCTTGTCAAATTCTACATAATGTTTGTTTTTCTGTAGTCATTGTACCAAATTAGATATACAGAATATTGTAATGAAATGAATTTTTAAATTTTCTTTTTATTTTTAAAGATCCCAGGGTGCCACATACCTGAAGAAATCTCATGAGGGCAGCATCAGTTCTGTAGCATTTAGTCCAGATGGTAAGCGAATTGATAGTTTAAAAGGTTTTCATTTATGATATTCCCATATATTTAGTCCAGCTAAGTCCTGGTAAGAAAATTGGTGGATCAGATAGTTTTGCTTACTTTGTTAAATTTGCACATGCTTTCAGTTGTCATAAGACAGTAAAATATCCATCAGAATGAATTTTTTTTCTAAAAAAAGGCAGGCCTGTGGCCAGTATTTCAAGTACCCTCTACCAAGGCCGCAGTTTATATTATGTGGACATTTTCTCTGACATGAGTACAGAGAAAAACCATCAATTTAACCAGAGACATTTCCATGAAGTGAAAAATCAATCTGTGGCCAAGGTAGAGGGTATATTTCAAGAGATGCAGTCTTTTTGTGAAATAGTTGATAATGCCACGAGACCAAAGATCAAGATTTCCTTCAGATCAGATGTTTTTCCCGGCCAAATGTGTGGTTGTTATTTTAATAATTGATAAAACTTTATTTTTCAAGTGTATTGTTGGGATTTGACTGATACCTGTATGTCTTAAAAGTGTATTTTCAAAACTCCTAAATAATAATAATAATAATAATAATTCATTCAGCTTTGAATGTTACAATTTAACATTGTTTGCTGTCTAGACTACTACAGAAACTACCATATTATGCTTACATAAAAGAGAGTGCTACTTCATTGTGCTCTTAACTGTATATAATGTGATATTGCTTTCAGTGACTTATGGTCTCGAGGGTTAAGGAGGATGGATAGTTTCAGATCACTGCCTGCTAATTCATAATTTTGTCTCACTGTATTTGGGAGGGAACTGAGCATATTTTGTCGCTCTCTTTGGTATTTACTACAAATGAGGAAGAAATGTTTTTCGTCCTCTATTTCCGTTTTACAGCTTGTGCACAATTTGTCTTCCAGGGGGATTTTCATGTGCCTGCCTTTCTCTATCGCCAGCTCATGGTCACTAATTCTCATTTTAGCAATGTATTTTTTGTCTGAGCTTGTGGCTTTTATTTTTAAGTAATTTTCGAGATCGTATGAGTTTTTTACTTTTCGATAAGTACGCAGTTTATTGTTGTCCTCCTTGCTCAAGTCTTCCCAGAAGAGTCCTTCAATTTTTAGATTAATTTGTTTTTCTATGTCTGGTGTTTCATCCCAATTTTGAATTCCCCAATTTTGTCTAAATGACGCCACTGTTTTAGTCCAATTATCTATTTTCAAATTTTTTTCTTCGTTAAATGTTTGTTTCAGTATTCTTGTATTCGGGAGATTTTTAAGTCTGATGTAATATTTTTGCATGGATTTAATTATATCTGTAAGGATTGGGTATCTACCCAATTCTGCTCTGCAGGCATTATTACTGGCAGTTTTTCTCACTCCTAAAACCCATTTGCACATTTTTAATTGAATTTGCTCGAACGGCATGTTATTGATTTTATTTAGGCTCAGTGATTTTTGTTTAAGAATTTCTTGTCCATATACCTCGCTACCGTATAGCAAAATTGGTTTTACGGTTCTATCAAATAATAATGATAATGAATTTATTTATTTATTTATATATTTATCTATTTATTTCTGTATCTGGTACTTCAGGCTGCATGCTGGTATCTGGTGGCTATGATATTAACATTGGATGTGGGGCACAGATATGGAATTCATTATTTATTTATTTATTTATTCTGACCTCCATGCTGGTTTCTAGTGGCTATAATAACAACATGGTGGTGTGGGATGGAGATAATTATTTTATTTATTTATTTGTTTTTATGTATTTATTCTAGGCTCCATGTTGGTATCTGGTGGCTATGATATGAATATGGTGGTGTGGGATGCAGATAACTGTGCTCAGAAACTAAAACTTCAGGTGATTTTGTCTCCATCTTTTATTTTCTGTTGAATTAAAGGATTAACTTTTGTCTGGTTTTGTTGTTATTAGTATGTGTACATATTGTTGAGATTTAACAGATATCTTAAAAAGTATTTTCAGAACCTTCTTTACTGACAGCAAAATATATAATGATTAAGTTATTTATATTTGCTTATTTCCATTTATTTAATAATCAATTTTATCTTAAGCCATTTATTTCTTTGTTTAAGCTTTATTTTAATTTAACATTCTATTTAATTTTGTTTTATTTTATTTTTTAGGGCCATGAAAGTTGGATAGAAGATTTGTGCTGGAGTCAGGATCAGAACTGGATCATGTCCTGTTCAAAGGTACACATCTTTGCCTTAGACGTTTGAACCATTAATTCTCAATTAAATCTTTCACATTATGCCAAAAAGTGTTTAAAAATAAAATAAAAATGAAATGTTTAGAAATGAAGTTCACAACAGTAAGTTAGAATTACATTAAAAATATAAAAATGTAAAAGCAAGTTATTCTGACTGACAAACAAATCATCTTGTAACCACTGAAATTGGGATGACAATCACTTTACCCAGGACCACACAGTGAGATTATGGAATGTAGAAGACTCAGATGAGCTGCCTGTAGTGATGGAAAACAAGAGAACCATTGGAGTCAAAATAATCACGGTATGACACAAAAATGATGTTGATTATGCTAGGATGTTTTCAAGTTTAACCTAATGATGTGATAGTGAAAATAAATTCAGTCTCTGTCAAATTGAAATTTTCATAAATGATAGCTACATTTTTTTTCAAAATAAATGATTTTTCAACAAATAACAAATATTTTGCTTGCTAGACTTGTAACAAAAAATGATGCCATAATTTTTGTCTTCTAGTGCACGGAGTGCGGGAAGCCATTTTCTATGATGCAGGCCGAAGACGCCAAGAGCAAAAAGTGTGTTTTCTGTCGAATGCAGAAGAGGGACTATTTTGTACCAACCACAGAAGACCAGGAGTTGTCCTCTGGTGATGAGGCTCCTGAAGGATGACCTAGTTTCAGTGAATGACCTGACCTTGAATTTTGGTTAATGTCAAGGTTGATTGATATGATACAATGTTCTGGTACATGTATTGTCTGATATCTGTTTTCTGACCAATGCAGAAGAGAGACTATTTTTCTACCAATCACAGAAGACAGAAGGTATAAGTGTTTTTCAGCCCATTGATCTGGTTGGAATACATTTCTTCACCCTTCATTTTTCTTTCACTGTCAAGTGCAAAGTCCCATTAAAGTGTTTTTTAATCAAAATTTCATCTTATTTTTGTAAATATGTGTGACCATGGTATTTAATAATACCAGTATTCATGTTTACTATCATCGTCCTAACAGCTGTTGGGATTTTACATTATATGTAATAGACTGGGTTCCCATACTTAGATCGATCTAACAAGATCGGTCCATCTCCATGGTGTTTCTATCAGCTTCAGTAGCCATGACAGACATGTAAGCCGCTTAAGTTGATTGCAATTTAGTGAGAATCCCCTAGAAGATGGCTCAATCCACAGTTAGTACGATAGGGTCTGGGAATGGTCCCATAGAGGTAAAGATACAGTAAACTCTGAAACTCCCAACAGAAACCCTACAGCTGTGACAATTTACAATTTTCCATAAACTCTATGTTGATAAGCATGCACAACCATACCATGTAAACAATGCTAAATACTGTGATACAAAATCAACCAAAGATGTTTGTCTTTTATAGACTCTCATTTCTTGCTTTTTTAATAAAATGTTTATGTTAAAGTTTTTGTTTATATTTATTTAATCTGCTCCAGTCATTTACCCTCTCTACCTTTTATATATTTCTTATATTTTTTTGTGGAGTTTCATCTTTGTTGAGCTGATAACTGCCATGGGATATTCTGACGTAGGCCTTTATACTTAGACCTTCAGAGGTCATTACAAAATCCATACTTTAAAAAACCCAAACGACTAACGTAAAATGTCGGAACGGATTCATTAAAAATTGGAAAATATGGGAAAATGGTCTACCTCAGGAAAATCCGTCTATGGCACTTTTCTTGCCAAAATGAGGAGTTGTCATTCCATTAAATGTAATAAATAAAAAAAGCACTCCGAAAGCGCAGAGCTCCGCCAAGGCAGCAATTTATTATTATTGATTAGTAAAGCACTTATTTGAGAAGCCGACACGGAGCGTTCCTAGATAGATTACTCTTTTTTACTTAGACTTTGTTTTATGCTAAGATTTAGTTTGGCTTCACCAATGACGTGGTGCTATAACGTGAAAGCTACTGAATTAATTCAAGTTACGTCCCTTTTTTTCTTATAAGCCAGCCCGGAACATTCCCATCCTAGTAGTAATATGATTTCAGGTGCTGTTATATTCATTTTGTTTTACACTGAGTTTACGTTTGACCTCACCCGTGAGGACGGTAAGAGCCAAAGCGGTTCACAAATTGGCGATTTTAGTTGTGAGTAGTCTTTGCCATTTCAAACGTCCACTGTGAAGTTGCCCCGGGTACTGTATGAATATATGTACAGTCTTGATAAGCAAGGCCAAAGGGAGGGGGCATGAAAACAAAATGTATGATTAGGTAAAGCAATAGCAGGAATGTGACTTTTGAAAAAACTTTTCTTGCTGATAATCCCATCGAGCAAATAGCTTTTTAATGAAAGGGCTATATGACATGCATGATGCCATGCCGAGTAAGGTATCGACTTAATTCAATTTCGATCTGTTGCGTAGTTGCTATCAATGACCATCCACGCCTAAGTTTCATTTTAAAGACTTCAAAAAGATGAAATAGAAAAGATGAAAAAAATATAATTAACGACGGTGACTTTATGATAATGAGGAGCAATAAGTTGTTGCCAAAGCGATCACTAATTCTAAACTATACCGGATTTTTAAGCAAAAGGTAATTTGCTTGGACACACGAGAGTTTGCATTCGTTTTCGGGGCCAGCTCGTTGTTGTGGTGATCTGACATGCGTCACCTGGCATTTGAACACGTGACTTGGAATAACCATGGTTTGCTGGTGGCTTGGTATTCTTTGCAGCCAAACACGCTACCAACTGCTCCTTGACTGACCCACTCACCCTACGAACGCACGAGTTTCCTCCTATAGTAATCGAACGCAATATTTAGAAATTATTTCGAGCAAAAAAAGCACATTGGAAATCTAAGGATTCGAACCCGCGTATGAGTGTCGAGCTGTGTTCAAGTCGGCCGAGTTACCAAGGAGACACAGAAGCTTCGTTGGTGAGATGCATATCAAATTTCTCACAGAGAGGGCCAGTTGGACTGCATTAATCTGCCATAACAATCAAAGTGAACCGTGCATATGTATTTCATCCCGCGCATATCATCAACTTTGTTAAAGTTCATCATGTACACGAGCACTTATTTGAGAAGCCGACACGGAGCGTTCCTAGAGAGACTACTTTTTACTGTGACTATTAGTGTGATTTATTCAGAACCTTCTAAATCCGCCACTGACAGGTAGATGGAAAATGAAACATGGGGATCTGCACGATTTGAAATAAGCCAGACATCCAAAAATTAGAAATGATAAATATCTTTATCTAAGATCCCCAAGGAGCCATTTCCACAGCTATATATGTATTTTTAGTTGACCTTACTTAAAGAAATACCAAATTGCATCATTTCATATTTCCCGAAAATTAAAATTTGAACAGATATTTCAGCTTTCGTGCTTTGTTATATATAGCCCTTGCCAAATGTCACTGGAATAATTATTCTTTGACATATATGGACTTCATTTGAGTCGCATAAGGAAATGGTAAAACTGATTTATATGCGCTATAGGAATCTACACTTCATTTATATCTAACTTGAATTTCCCTGCAAGTTTCACCATTAAAACTCAACCAACACTTAGGTCAATTATATCCCCAACAGATTTTTTTAAAGTTGTTAATGCACAGGAAGCAAAAAAAAACACTAAACCGTTACTGAACAGTATTTAATTATACATTATTGAAGATTAAGATGATTTTATAGTTATGAAGTAAATGGAAATTAATTATCATTATCAAGCGTCCCCTTGGGTTTTTTTCTCCATTGATTTCACTGTTATTTGAAAGATCCCCTGCATTTTATAAATATACAGCATTGGTCAAAAAGGTTGTCCCACCCCCATTTCCATATACTTTTAATTACAAATGATCACCTCACAGCTGTAAATTGTTAGAAATAGTGCTTTTTATTACAGAAACCGTGTCTAACATGATTAATGGTTTAAAAAATACAAAATAGAGGTAAAAATATACATATTTTATACCATTTAGTCAAATTTATAAGAGGTACCCCCTCAAATCCACTGTTTCACTGTGACTTCTACAGATGTAAAGAAATGTCTATAAAATTGAAAAGACGCCATCAAATGTCCCCAAATTCACAGACAATTAGCATTAGGCTGTGCTCGTTAAAGNACATAGGGTTGTACAGAGGAGGAGCATTAATGCAGTAGATTAGCTGCATGATAGAAGCATGTTTCAAATATGCTAATTAGCTCCCAATGCGAAGCAGATTTGAGGCATATTTGCAGTATGTTTGCAGTAGTCTACTGCGCTGGAGCATCTACTGCGTTTTCGTGCGGGTACGTACAGAGAAATGTGGCTTTTCCCGCCCGATGGTGATCTACAGATTTTGCCGAAGTGACTACACTTAATCTTGAGACTTGGCGACCTGAGCCTTCTGCTCGTCAATTACAAACGTGGCCGCGCCCAGAACTACTGCTGGCCGTATATATACTGAGCAAATCATTTGCATAACAAAACAAAGATGACTATTAACTCTACCGTAATCGCAACTTGTTGTCGTAAGCGACAACAATCTTTTTGTTTTAATATTGTTCTTTACAGTGGGTACCTCGGAGGTCGTCTAGTATTCTAAAGCCCCCGTAACACTTATTCGGAATCAGCAGGAATCAAACAGAACCAGCCGGAATGACTAAATTTAAAAAATCGTACTACATTCGGGAAGAAATTTGAAATTGACCTGTATTCCTGTAAGAATGCCGTTGTAATACTCAGAATGCGCTTGAATCCGCCTGGACAGATTCGTGCATATATCGGCTGTATTAGCACTCAAATGCAGCTGGAATGTAGTTGGAAGGTAAGGAAAGTCAATAATGCTGTCAGAATGCAGTCAGAATATTAAGAATACACTTCGAATGCCGTACGAGTGTAGCTCGATCGCTGGCTGAAATAAGATCGAGGTGCATTCAAGTTGCATTCTGGTTCATTCTAGCAGGATTTGAAGTGTCTTGCCATTCCGGTTCTCCCTCGAATGTGATCAGAATGTTTTTAATGCTGTCGGAATGCCGTGAGAATATTTAGAATGCAGTCATAGTGCAGTTAGAATACTATTCAAACGCCATTCGATAGTTTTCAACTTGGAATGTACTTCGAAGGTTTTAACATGAGCAAAACATTCGGGCCAGCCACAAGAATGGAAAAAATATTCGGAATGCACTCGGAATTTTTAGAATGCTCTTGGAATATCCAGGAACGCACAAAGAATTGCCTTTCCGACGGCATTCTTGCTCATTCCGCCCCTAGTGTGACGGGGGTATAACCTGATAAAACCAGGGTTCCGTATCTCGAAAGGTATGTTGCCTTCATTCTTGTTATAAATGGGACGTACGCAAGTGTCTCGATTCCATAACCGATTCTTTCGAGATAAGGGGCCATGGAATCGAGACGCTTGCGCAAGTGCGCAACATAGCGAATCTTTCGAGATAGGCCTACGGATCCCAGTTTTGTGTTCGCTAAGGGTCTTGAAAACGCAATTTTGGTGGTAATTTACCCTCGTTCTGAAATATTGTATTTTCTGGTTTTATCGCATATCTAATCTTCATATGGTAGACGGAGAAAATTTACACACACTAAATACTAGGACGGTAATACGTGTTTTGGGTTAGAAAGAACATAAAACTCCTTTTTGTACACGGTTGGCTTTATTTACAGTTCATTCAAAATTGCTGATAAGCTGATAGTTGA